CACACATACCACACATGACTTTGTCAAGACAGCAGAATCATCTCTACTTTAAGGCCACTTGGGCAGGTGACTTTGGGGGTCTCACCTTGCTGGAACTCATGTAAAGGGAGTGCTGAGAGAGGGAATAAACCTCTAAAAGGAAAATAAAAATTACCTGGGACGCATAAAGTGAGACTGTGAAGTGGTGAGAGACTGACTTCCTGGAAGCCACTCTTTTGCAGCCACCCTTAATCATCCTGATCTGTGACTCCTTTTTCCTTTAAAACTATCTTGATGTGCACTTTAACTTGATTTTATCTGGATCTGAAAATAGACTGCCTTCATTGTGAGGTGATTTTCTCAGGTTCTTGTTAATGGTGACTTAAAATGTTCTTCTTTAGTCCCATCACCTCCAATCAAGCCTGGGCTCTCATTCTCCTGCTTGAATGATCACCAGCTGGCTTGGATAACCACAACTTCTTCTTTAATCCATTCCATATACCGATACCGATGTAACGGTTTAAACGTTACACATGACACCCCCTGGTGCTAAATTTTTCAATGGCTCCCCAAATTTCCAATAGTAGAAAATCTAAACTTATCTGTTAGTCTATCAAGACTCTCCCAATCAGGCCTCATCCCAGCTCCCATCCACCCTTATTTGCCACAGCTTCTAACATGCTTCTTTTACTTTGGTCAGGCTTGTCACAACAGTGTTCTAAGAACCTAGCAAGCTCATTCATTCACAGATCGTCAGATTACAATGAGATACTGTATTTTTGTTTCATTCAAAAACATATTGTAAGCCTACTCTATGCCAGGATTTGTTAAGGTGCTAGATCCCAAAGGTAAACAAGAAAGTCCTCAGCTATCTGGCATAGGTGACAGCTGAAAAGACAATCATATTGCTGCATGATAAGTGGTGTGATGGAGGGGGCCCAGGGAGCTGTGGGATCCCAGAGGAGAGCAGGGAAGGATTCAAGAAGCGATGTTACAATCCTGATGCATGAAGAATGAGTAATAGCTAGGGAGGCAAGGAGCTGGTGAGGGGAAGTGACATTCCCAGTAAAAAGAGCAGGAATCAAAGAAGACCACAGAAACAGTGAGAGTTGGAATATGTTTCAGACATCTTTGCATTGTACCTGCACCTAGCACTCTCCTAGGCACATAGGAAGCACTCAGAAATTGATTCTTAGTTGACCATTCTGCCTCTTCATCTGCTAGAACATTTAACAGATTACTTTTGGCTAAGGGATGCTGTATTAATTATTTTGTAGTAACAAGGAATGTAAAAATCTCAGTGGTGACTACAACAAAGCTTAATTTTTTGCTCTTACAAAGTTCATTGCAAATCCAGGTGACACTCTGGGGCAACTTTCCTCCATGTGGTAACTCAATGATACCTGCTACTCTGATTTTGTGGCAACTACATCTCCACATATGCTTACATAATCACTATGGGAAGGAGAAAAGAAAGTGGAGGGTCTCACACAGTAAATGAAATGCCCTAGTCATGAAATATCTCACTTCACCTCACAACTCATTGGCTAGAATGAGTTACATGGCCCCTCCCAACAACAAAGGGACTTGGGGAGGTGGAATCCTCTGATGGGCTCAGAAGAAGAGAATCACTTAGACTAATACCAGCTAGGTGAGTGCTAGAATCCTCCTAAGCAGATATTACTTACGATCATCATGTGTTAAGTTGGTCTGTTGGTTATTGTGTTTAGAGAACAAACTACTCAAATATCTGGGTTTGGACGTTTTTGTTACAGTTGTTTCTTTTCCTGACTGGAATTATGCCATCATCTGTTCTTGGACTTCAGCCAACAATGCTAAGTCATCTGGCAAAGTGATTACATTACTTAAGCCATGGTATTAGTGATGCTGTTGTCACCATTTGAAAAATATTATTTGTACGTGATATGAGTGAAACAAGACAAACAAGCCAAGTGGCACACCCAGCACAGATCCACTACACTCTCTAGGTCTTTGTTACCTGATAAATATTTTCTTCATCTGTGTATTTTGATGGGTGATTTGGCTATTTCTTTAGATCAGGCTAGTGTACAACCTAAGTCACACCAATTATCGATTTCCATCTTTATTTTCTATAGACAAACTATGAAGTAATACATACCAGACAAGGTATGTGTTCCCAAAGTGGGTAGCTAATATACCAGGTCCTGAGAAATGGCCCCAATAACTTTTGAAGATATTTACATGTTGTATGGAAGAATGATAGAGGCCAGTTAGTACTAGCTTCCTAATTCACCCTAAATATGGATGTTTAACATATATCGATTATTGAAACAATCATAGTAGGAAAGATTTAAAAGTTTGATAGTATTGAAGAGGATGTGAACAAGTCAGCACACTCTTAATGAAAGTGAAAATTAGTATAACATTTTCAAAGGGCAATTGAATAATATCTGTTAAAAGATAACTTTTTAGATCCTATGATCCAATGTATTCAGTTCTAGAAATTTATCCTATGGAAATGTTGCTTTAAATGTGCAAAAAAAAATTATATATAAGGATGTTCATTGCAGCATTGCCCATAATAGAAAAATAGAAATGACCCAAATGTCTATTCATAGAGGAACTGAGAAAATACACAATGGTGCATTCTATTTTTTAAAAAATTAGGTGGATCTACATGTACTGGTATGGAAAAATGTCCATGCTGTATAGCTCAGTGAAGAAAGAGTTTAAAAATAGCATGAATAGCTTGCTTAAAAATTGTTTGAGCTTAATAAATTCTATTATACATACAAGAAAAAATGTTTGGAGGAATAGATACCAACTTAACAGTAGTTATAGAGATAACTACTATGGGACACTTTCACTTTCTATAATACTTGTAGAGTTCTGTAATGTTAGAAAATTTTGTAATCAGGAAATGACATTACATTTTTTTCTAATTAAAAAATGTAAAAACTTCCTCCAAGAAAACCTTTAATAAAATTTCTTGAATAAAATCTGACTTCTAAGAAAACCCTGATTTACTCTACAGCTCAGGAAATAGATTTGACAGCTCTTAACTTGACCAGCCAAGTGTAACAGAGTGGAGCTTAGCACAAGGATCTGAGCAATTAAAGCTGCAGAATAATTACCAGTCATCAGAGGTTCTGATAGAACCCAGGCCTTTACACTGTCATCTTTGATCTGCTCTCAGGGCCTAATGATTGAAATGCTTAAGATTTTTGGGACAAGAGCACAGTTCTCATTAGACCACACTCTTTAAAACTTTCCATGGCTACTAGTTATCAACAGAATAAATCCAAATCATTTAACATGGCATTCAAGGTGCTATGCTATTTCCCAACCCTAAATCCCAACTTAGTCAAAGAGCTTTACAGCATAATGTCTAAGAGTTGAGGCTTTAGATCTTTAGCCAGTTCTAGGATTAAATTTTCTGCCTCATCTCCATTTCAACAAACTCGAAACTATTTGTCTTCCAAAGCCAAGTTCACCTGTCCTTTCTCTATACCCTGCCCTTCCCAGATCTCTATCAGAAAGCATTGTCTTTCCCCTAAACTCTTGCATGGCCGTGTCTATACTGCTTTTACGGCACTTACACTTTCTTACAAAGTAGTTTTTAAAAATTATATCCATATTAAATGGTCAGCCCCATGAAGATAAGAGCCTCCTATCCCCCATAGCGCACAGCATCTTGCTTGCACATGCCAGGCTCATAGGAAATTTTCATGGAATTGAATGAATAAAGAATGAATTAATTTCCCTTTTAAAAAGAGCCTCACCAATTTACACGTGCTCCCAGCTGGTGGCAGTAGTCCCCTTTAGCTCTTCTACCATTCAACACACTGCTGTTCCTCAGAGTCCCAAATCATTCTGCAAGTGAGCAATTCCCAGTTTAAGACAGTCAGAGATGAAAGTGCTGAACTCAGAGTCAGGTAAGCTGGCCTTTAGCTCCAGATCTGTCACTAACTAAATATGTGATTTGCAAGCTAGTTCCCTTATTTTCTGGATCTGTTCCCATGTCTTCAAAATGAAGGATCAAGCTAGGATGACTTTCAGAGTTTGACATTCTATGATTTTCATACTCTGTAAACTCAAGATTACTAGAGTTATGAGATCTTTGGATAGTTGCCACCATCATTTTTCATCTATTCTAGAATGTACTTATGGTAACAATATGGACAGAGGCATTTCCTTAAAAATCCTCTCCAAATGCTCTTTCCTTGTTTGGATATAATAGGACACATCAGAGCCCAGCCATTGCAACTCTCTGGCTAGTGTTGACTCTCAGAAGGAAACTGGGTAGTGATCCTTGGACGTGTGGGGAAAAGGAGTAGGAAACTCAGTTAAGCACGTGGAGTTAACCACAGCGTCTAATACTGGGAAAGAAAGGACTCTGTTGTATTTATTTCGAGACTTCTGTTTTTCTTCTGTTAGAAATGTATTTAAAAAGTTATATTCTGGGGGGAAGAAGCAGTTACTTTTTTATCATTACTACTGTGATTCAACAATTTAATTTTTTAAACCACAGTTTAATATTAATAAAATACTGTTCCTGCCTTCTCAATGGGGAGAAGACAGGAAGCCAAGGTGTGTACATGTGGGCATAAAAAGAAATTATTATTTTTTTAGGTTTGTTTGTTTGTTTGTTTGTTTGTTTGTTTTTGGTGACATTGGTTAATGAAATCCAGTAAGTTTCAGGTGTACAATTTAACAGTTAGGCATATATATATATTGCATTGTGTGTTCACTGTCCATAGTTAGATTTCTTTCTGTCAACACATATTTGACCCCTTTGACCCCATCTACCTTCTTCCTTTCCCCTCCCCCAACCCTCTGGTAACCACTAGTCTATTGTCCATGTCCATGAGTCTGAAAGTAGTTTTAAGAGAAAGAACCAAACTACTACTTTTTATAACCCCCCCCCTCCCCCTATCCTCTGGTAACCACTGTCTATAGTCCATGTCCATGAGTCTCTGTTTGTTTGTCCTGTTCGTTTGTTGCTCTTAGGTTTATATCCCACATATAAGTGATATCATAAAAATATGGAATGCTCCATGAATTTGTGTGTCATCTTTGTGTAGGGGCCATGATAATCTTCTCTGTATTTTTCCAATTTTAGTATATGTTCTGCTGAAGCAAACACCGTTTTTTTTTCTTTTTAAATTAAAAAAAAATTATTATTATTATTTTTATTTTTTCAATTACAGCTACTCTGCTATCTTGACTGGAACTCCGAGAAATTCTTGTGGTCTAGGTCAGGTTAACAGATTTAATGGGTATTGCATTTAAAGTTTTGGTATTTATAAAGTTGTAATGAAGGGATATATTCTTTTGATAAAAAATTGAATTAGGTTTAGAAGTCTGATTCTAACTCCAAGGGAAAATATTCACCCTTTCTCCATTATTTAGTGTCAGAGGGTACAAATTACAAGAACAATGATGAAATTTTGATTAAGAATCTCCTCTGAAAGAGAAACTAATAGATGGGAAAAATGTGTCCTAGTTGCAAGGAATAACTGCTTTAACTTTAGCTGAACCAATGATATGAATGAATCTAAAGAAATAATACCTATAGAAGACAATGGGATAGGGAGAGGAAGAGGAAGAGGGAGAGAGGGAGGTATACATATGACACACTCACACAAATCTGAAATAAAACCTTCACAAACAATACTTTATAATCAGGGCCATTTTCCTAGGCATGTGACCTGTATAGTAGCACAGGGCTTTGTGTCTGGGCCTCTCACTGTCTTGAAATTCTTAATAATTTTATTTTAGAACTTGTGTTTTGCAAGTGAAGTCAGATGAAACAATGGAGCATGCTGTAGCAGATGAGATTGGGGTAATATATGTGTCTGCTGCCATTTTTTGCTGCCTCATTTGCATATATCATTTGTGATACCCCATGAACACAGGACTCCAACTCCAGTGGACTTGCAATGTCTGGGCGTTCAACAAGACTCAAAGGGAGGACAAGGTCAGTGTGTAGCATCTACAATTGAGTAAGGCTGGGGTGGAGTTGGGGAGTGGTGGTGACAAACCAAAGAGGCCACACTTTCCTTTCCAACCAGAACTTATTTCCAGTGCAGAAAGAATGCAATAGAGTTCTGAGAAACACGAAGACCACAGAACCCTATAATATCCTACTTTGTTACTTTCCTGTATTAGCTAACCACTTATGCTGAAAATGATGACATAAAAGGAAAGGGAATGATAAGCCAACACTTTCCATTTTTTTCTTTCCTTAATCATCAGTAAGCTGAAAGTAGAGAGTTTTGATAGATTACACATGTATGAAGAAGAGAAAAACAATTGAATTAGTTTTGTGCAATATGTTCACTGTTCTGGTAAAGAATTAAATATGTAATATATATGCATGTATGAACTGCAAAATATGAATTATGTAATTTTAGTGATTTTGCATGTAAGTTAAATGCTGTTACATTTGCATTTCAAACTGGCATTGCAAAATATAAAGATGTATAGTAAATTCCTGTTAATTATCAATTTTTTTTATTTAAGATGATAATAAATAGCAAATAAAAAATACTATGACAAGTCAAGAAAGGAACTGCAGAAGAAAGGAAAAGCTTTACATATGAATACCTTTAACAATACTTTCTTCCTACTTTTTGATCAAGGAATCCCACATTTCCATTTTTCACTAGGCCCTGCAAATTCTGCAGCCAGTCCTGCTTATAATGTGTGAAGCTCTGTGATGCTTTCTACTCTGGTCTTCTCTATTTGTTTAAATGTTGCTCATGATCCGCTCGATTGATTTCATGACCCTTAATGGGTTATGATAGACAGTTGGAAGAACTCTGCCTTAGAGGTTAGAGTACGTGGTTAACATTCCCCCAAACATTTTTCTCAACTAGAGCAAAGAGCTTAATAGCCAGGCCTGGAGTCAATCAGAGGTGGTATTATTCCCCCTGAGGGAAATAATCAGAGGTATCAGAAGAGTCCTGCCAGCACCTTTGCAAGACTGCTTGATTAATTATTGCCATGGCTTCTAAAACCAATGAGATGGGTAATTTGGTCCCTCAAGGTCTTATACATATGTCTCTTTGATCTTAACTCAGAAGTCTCTGTATTCCATCAAAGTAATGCTTCAATTAAGTTTATCCCAGTGCTATTCCAGGTATTAGGTCAAAAAGTCATCCCCTCTTCTATTTTCCATCTAAAATCATGCATGACTCTGTTATCCTAATAAGGTCATCAGACAAGATTATACAATGTGTGCCAAATATTAAAATTCTGCAGAGGGAACTACATTTCTAACAAAATTAATACTATGGTGGTTCAGAGCATAAGCTTAAGAGTCAATTAGACACCGATATCAATCCCAGTTCTGCCTCTCTCTTAGACATGTGACTTAATCTTTCTGAGTTTTAATTTCCTCATCCATAAAATGGGAATATTAATATCTATCATACAGTGTTGCTGTGAATATTAAATTAATGTTTGCAAAGTGCCTAGTAGCACTTAGTAAATGACAGCTGTTATTGTCATTCACATTTCCAACAGAGAAATGTAAGTAAAGGTATCTACAAATACATCTTCCTCACCCAACTTTCATCCTGAATTGTTCAGCACAGCCAAAAGAATTTTTCTTTAGTGCTTGTCCAGTGGGTCATAATCATGGGTGACTTTGCCCCACCAGGTAATAATTTGCAATGTCTGGAGACATCATTGGTTGTCACAATTGTTGGGGAGGTGATACTGACATCTAGTGGGTAGAGGCCAGAGATGCCACTAAACTTTCTACAATGCAAGGTACATCTCCTCCCCATACACAAAAGAGAATGATCCAATGCAAATGTTGATAGAGCCAGGGTTGAAAAACCTGTTTTGTTTGAAGCCTGGACTAGCATCTATAGGAAAGTACATAGTTCCTTCAACACCTCCAAAATTGAATTACTCAAGATTTCTACCAAAGTTCTCAGAGCTATCGCATTACATGGCACATGATGTAGTATCAAAGAAGAATATCCACAGCTATCTGAAAAAGTTATTAAAATACTCCTCTTTTTCCCAAATACATATCTATGAGTCCTCATTGTTTTTGTATACTGTAACCAAAACAACATATGGCAGCCAATTGAACACAGAAGCAGATATGAGACTCTAGCTGTCTTTTATATTAGTAGACATTAAAGAGATTTTCAAAAATACCAAACAATGCCAATTTTCTCACATTTTTCATTTTGAAAAATGTAAGTTTTTTTAAAAAAAATTACTTTACCAGTTTTGAGAAATGCCTATACTTAATATGAAATTAAAATTGCAAATAGGACGCAGCCCTCACTACCTACCTGGATTACTATCACATCTGTGTGAATCATTGTTCCAGAAAGAAATATATTCTAAATAAAAATTTAACTGACTTTATCATCTGTTTTCTAGGGATAGGCAAAACTGGAGTGAGATTATGAAGACTCCTGGAAAATGTGTAACTGGAACTGTTTTGGATAAAAACATAAGAGTATACACATAGAAAAGATTAAAAGATTCTAAGGAAAGGAGTTGATAAATTAAAGGTAAATATGTAAGACTGGGTGGAAATTTAAAGTAGAAAATGATGGGATAAGGCTAAAAAGTAAAAAGTGAATTGAAGCCGTATCTTAGCCTACTAATGAAACAGGAGTCACATTGAAACTTAACCAATGAGAAATTATTCAAATGCCCACTAACAAGAGGCTAGATCAACAAATTGCGGTGTATTCATACAATGAAATGCTATTCAGCAATAGAAAGGAATGTGCTGCTAATATATCAGATGAATCTCAAGAATATTATGAGTGAAAAATGCCAGACACAAAAGAATATATACAGTATGATTCCATTTATGTAAAGTTAAAGAACAGGCAAAAATAATTAATGGCGATATAATTCAATACAGTGGATACCTATGAGGGAGAAGGCATTGACTGGAAGGAGACACAAGGAGACTTTCTGGGGTTACTTGGATAATAGTAACATGGGTGTGTACATGTTTCAAAGATAAGACTATACACTAAAGTTCTGTGCCTTTAACTGAATTAAATTGTACCTCAATAAAAAATAAAAATAAGTTAATGAACCAGTGGATCAATCGTGCTTTGAAAAAAAATCTGTCACTGATTTCATCTAAGATACTTGGTTGTTTTCAATTGAAATGACTGAAGCAAGGCTGTCACCACCTGTGGTCTGTTCTGGTGTATTTGAGATAACCCCTCCCATCCCAGAGTATTTCTAGCCTTCTGTGTATGTGCCCCTGTGTCCTAACATAGTTCCTCATATGATTTCTCACTCTCAGAGTACAGAGAAGGTCAGGATAGGGAAAAAGACTTGTTTCTCAGCAAAAAAATCCCAAAATATCTACTTCTCCCCACCCCCACTACTCCACCAGGAGCCTCCCGTGTGGACTCCCTGCTTCCCATCCTGCCCTGCT